CACACACACACACACACACACACACACACACACACACACACACACACTCACCTCGTTCATTGTGTTCATATCTTATTTTTTGTAAATGTCTGTTTCTTAACACTATGAATAAACATAAATAGAGTTTACTTTCAATACAAATCCTTATGACTCATTTGGCTTGATTTTGAGTGAGCGGGTCAATATGACCCTGAACAGCAGGGTCATCTCTATTTATCTACATCACCCCATGAAAAAAAGAAAGTTTCAAACTGTAAACATTTTTTGAAAGAAATACATGTTATGGTAGTCTAATGCAATTTATATCTAGGTTTTTCCAATGTACCCAAAAATAGTTTGAACATGTATTTTTCATGAAAACGAGTGAGTTATCCGAATTGAACTATGATCTATGGAGGGGTGAATAACTCCATTCCAATAAATACTGATTGAATTGTTAGTAATGGTGCTGGTGATGAGGTACTGTAGAAATATGCTGACGGTATTTACAGGCATTAAACGTATAAGTATTATGTATGTGCTGATTTGCAATAGTGTTGCGTGTGTCATAGAGCGAAGGTTTGAATCTCCGGGTGAGGCACTCACGCGCTTCCCGTACAAAGAGCTCTGACACACAGGTGGTTTAGCTTAAACTCGTAACTAGATGTGCTGTGAAGCGGGTTAGTCCGCAAGATATTATGTAGCAACAACAGGTGGAAAGCAGGAACCGCTTCTTCGCTATCCCTGAGAACGACAGGACTCCCACACACACAGTGGCCCCAACCCTGGCGTGTGTGTGTGTGTGTGTGTGTGTGTGTGTGAAGATAACTCGTCCCTGTGCAGGACAAGGTCAACTCCTCATGAGAATGAATAAAGAAACAAGGAAATGATTAGGGGGGGCTCACAAAACACCGAGAGGAGAGATGCGTGGACCGAGCCCTGACTTTGTGTCTGTTGCTAGGGATACTTGATCAATTCTTGTGTTTTGTGAAACCATAGATCTATGTTTTTTATGCTTTGATGCTTGACTTATTAAATTGTTAATACTTATAGATCGTCTACCGTCTTCTGTTCATCGAATGTAATTCCAATCAAAATGATCTGCGCGGGGTCCTTCTGAAGGTGTAGTCTTTTGGAGTCAGATTATACGGTGGGCTTTTTGACCGTGGGAAAATCCCCAACAGTACAAACTATATTTATTAGGAATTTTTGGTTTCTGACAACTTTTGGATGATTAAACATGCACCGGGTCACATTGACCCGGGAACATAATGGCTGTACCTAAGAAACGAACATAACAGGAGGGTTAAGGTAGACTCTTGCATATTGTACTGCTCCACAGGAGATAGCTTACATTTTATGGTGCATTTTTTGAATGTGATCTAATTCCATAAAATGTTTTTTGTTTGTCCATCAAATTAAATGTTATGGTATTTGTTTGGATCACCTGAAGCCTAATTCGAATGAAATGGAACCATTCATCCATTACAAGCACAATACAACAGGTGTACAATAAAAGCAAAGAAGGTCATGTGACAGGGTTAACAAACAAGCTAAAGGGTGGAGGAGTGGGTTCCAACTGGCTTCACTGCAATTTGATTAAAAGTCAGTGGGCAGGCATGTGTGTTGAGTGATTTGGAGAAACCAAATGAGTAAACTGTGTCAAACTTTTGGGTAGCACAAAGCTAGAGGACGGGTTTTATTAGAGGAAGTGGTGGCAGGTTGAGTCTTCACACACCAGTAGGTGGTGCTACTTGCAACTGTGTAGCTGGGTGTGATCCATCCATACACTAGAAGAAGAAAGACAAGAAAAAACAGGAAGCGTCAATTTTTTTGGATTGTCGGTTATACAGTTGATTCAACAGTGTGGACGCAATGTCATTGGATTTTGTTCGGAAATGCCAGAGGACCAAAGGTTACATGCAGAGTTAACGTGTGTTAGCTCTTCCTTCGTCGGGACTGGGGCGACTATCATGGGTCCACTTCAGGTAATAATACCCAACGCAAGCGGCTGAAGTTTCTGTCTCGTTGTGAGGCGGCTCGAAGGGTGCTGGAGACATGGATGAAGTGATCACTCTCAGCTCCGACAGTGAAAAAGAAGACTCTGATGTGGAGATCGTCGGCTCCTTCGGCAACGGTGTTCCGACCAAACCTGACCCACCGCCCCTCACTGCAGTGCGAGTTGATATTGGCCCGACGTTCAACGTCCCACAGGTGAGATGCCGCGCGAGCGAACGTCCCTCGGCTGTTACTGTAGAAACCATTGTCTGTAACTTGTATAAGAAGGTAGAAACGAGTTCTAACTAACTTTTAATGTCCTCAAGATGTCGCTGCAGCTGTAGCTAATTTAAACCGAACAGAAACGTACAGTGTTTCAGCTTTCCTCAGGTAAATATAGAGACTTTATCTCCTCTATTTCTGCTGCCTTGTCGAGGTGAGGGTGTCGGATAAAGCTAACAAGAGTCATGAAGATATTGCCTTAGCAAAGATTAATGTGTAACTTAACCTAACGTTAATTGGGCTGTTCCTGTTATTATAATACATAAACATAGATTAACTTTAACACAATTTGACTTTGTTTTGGCGTCGTGTCTGTTCCCACAATCCCGTGGTGGTGAAATACTTTTACAACATGATGTGAATTCTAGGTATGACCATTTGAGCTGCTAATGTCATCTGTCCTCGGGTGACGCAAGCCCTGCCATGGCAAGCAATCAATGCAATGTGATGAATAGATAATGTGTTAGTTATTTATATCCATATGCTTTGTGGCTTTGCTCTACTGTTTATGGTTGTCCTGCTAAATGTAATATGTTTACTTTATTCTTTGTTTACATTCTCTAACATGGTCATATCAAATGAAAACATTGCAATTTTGCCATAAAACAGCATTACTCTATGATTTCCACAATGGCCTAATACACCCAGAGATATGAAAGGGAGAGATACCCCCATATTAAGGTTGTGGGGAAATATCTGTGTGCCTTCTCAGAAGTGTGGATTATCAACTAAAAATACAAGTTTCACAATTTCATATACTTTAATTATTGGCCAAGAGAAAAGTCAGTGAGAACTGCATGTGTTTATACTGACAGAATCAGAAGCCATGACATTCTTCACTGTAATTACATGATGTTTACTGTTTATTTAGAAGCCATGACATTCTTCACTGTAATTACATGATGTTTACTGTTTATTTTTCTCTTTTCTAGCTTTATATCGACCTCACCGATCCCAGATGGACTCTTCCAGAGCTGAAACACAAAAGACAAAATGCCTCTGCCTTGACGGTGGTAGACCTGACTGAGACCGACGTAGCACATGGGACGATATTGGAGACAAAGAATTTGCCACCAGATGACACTCGATTGAAAAAAGAAAGTACGAATACAAATCAAACTTCAAACAAACCGGATTGTAACTTGAAGAAAAGCTCATCAAGAGACCCAACTCTTTTTGCACTACAGAAGGACTGTTGCAGCCTAAAGCCAAAGAAGAGACCTTTGGATTCTCAAACACAACACAAAACGCATCATCGCACAGCAATTGTAAAATTAAGACGATTTCCTTTCCTTGAAACTCACATTGCAGAACTGAAAACATCAAAGTGTTCCGTCTATTTAAACAACGATTGTACACAAATGTCACTGAACCTAGACGATAATAGTGAAGCGCCAGAATGCATTAGTAATTTAAGGATAACTACGGAATCACACGGTACCCACCTGGATCCCTCGCTGGAGTCTACGGTGGTTGAATCTCTCATCACACAGGAAGAGCAAGAGAACAGTAATACATTTACGAACACACAGTTAAACGGTAAAACATCTCCGCTTCTACAGACCCCAGCTGACTCTCCCTGCTCAGACAAAGGGGGCTCTGTTGCAACCTCAAAGGAGCCCAGCACCCGTGAAGACAAGAGAGAGGACTTTTGCTCATCCGTGCCCACCCCCCCGCCAACATCCAATTTGTCATCCCAAGATGAAGCACAGCATTCCTTACAGGAAGAAGTCGTCTGCTCCAAACTGATACAACTGGAACTAGACAAAGGGGAATCTAGACAAAGCTATCTCTCTGATCCCTTATTCCCCAACTCTCCTCCCACAGGACCAAACCCTTCTGAGCATTTTGATCTAGACTCTCTGTCCCACACAAATCCCATATCTCCGAACATTATGAGCCAAGTCGACCCAACACCCACCTCTGAGCAGACACTAGCCGAGAGTCCGACTGAACGACAGTCGGAGGAGCTCAATGCTGATGAGGCCTCAAACAGCTCTGACTCCCTGCACTGGAGCATCCCTAATGAGCCTCTTTTGTCAGTGTCCAACGAGGACATGGATGACAGATCTGGGGCCGGGACATACAGTGGGGATCTGGGCATTGACAGTCCAGTGTCTTTTCATTGGCAAGAGGGTAGTGACGGAGACGAAGTGAACAAAGAGAGCTCATTTGATATGGACTTTAGGGTGGCCAGTCGAGAGGACAGGCACTTTGTGTGCCCAGTTACACTCAGGAAAATAATGTCTGGAGCAGTTCAAGCCCCGGTAAGAGACATTTCTCCAAATCTTTCTGTTTCCATTGCTCTCTTTGCACATGATTATATGCTAGGCGGAATGTACAGACTCTATTTTCTTTTTTGTTTAGCTTAATGAAGAAGAAGAAAAAGGTTTTGGAGCTCCAGAGGTGCTGTGCCGTCAGAGCCTGAGCCTAGTTTACAGTACCATCGATGAGAACTATCCAGAGGGCACGTTGCAGCTCTTGTCTGACCTGCTGCAGCCCGGTTACTATCCACCCAGAGATATCACTTCCCACCTGCTGCGTGGCATTCTGCTCGACCTGCAGTGTCCTCATCACCTGTGCGTGCAGGCCTTTAATCTGCTGATGAGGACACAGAGGTGAGCGAATCTCGGAATAAGAGTAATGCATTATTCGTAGCCTTCCTATTTAAATGATTGATCTGTCCTTTTCGTCCCTCCTTCCATCTTGTCTCTTCCATGTTTAGAGTTAGAGATTAAAACTGCTTTCTGATTGCAGACACCACATGGCTGATAGTACCACAATGCCATGGGACTGGGAGTTGCTGACCTCAGTCATGGCCGATCAGGTACTATCCCAGATAGCAAAATGTGTCATTGGTAAAAAAAAAAAGTATTTAGATATTTCTTTCACTCTGCCGTAGTATGCATATACTTACAGCTGAGTAGCTGTTTTTGTGATCTAAGTACACTGACATGTCCCTATCTGTGCCCTCTCCTGCTTCCTTGTTCCCATACAAAGAGACATCCATGTGCGGTTGTGCGTATGCTCCTGGACTATATTGTGCAGACTTTGGAGGACGACTTGCAGGCCAAACGCTCCATCTCTGCACTCCACCACTCCATTGCCAAGGCAACATTGTCGTGTGATCTGCAGTTCCCTCGTGTCAGGTGCACTTGTTATTTATTTTTCGTGTTGAAAATGTTTGTTTAGTTCAGGGGATCAAAACCTGTAAACTTCCCACACAAATGATCGTTCCTACGTACTGACTTTCATACTGTAATGCACTTTTACTTGTGTCTCAGCAGTGGCGTTTGATTTTAAATGCACTGCTATTCTCTGTTAATGTTGCATGTTATTGGATGATTGCCCAAAAAAAAACACCTCTTTGGTGTGAACAAAACTCACAGCTGTCTTAAGAAATTGAGGGTTCAAGAGAAGACGTAACATTTAAACTCACGTTGTCATAAAGGCTACTTTATGACATATACAACATAATATTGCACATCACTCTATGCTAGGGTGATCACATTAATGTTCATAGATTAAAAATGGTAAAGTTTTTAATTCATACTTTTTATTTGTGATAATAATGTGGATGTTTATTTGTTTTCCAGGGAGGTCATCAAGTGGCTCTTCTCTGCCATTATGAAATCAACACAGTGTGGAGAGACTAGAGAAGCAGCCAGAGCGAGAGATGAACTAGTCAGGTCAATCACACATTCTTTAATAGTTTATTTTAAATTTTTTATAATGAATTGTTCTATGCATGAATATATCATTATGGCTGCTTTTATGTCTGTTTTCCCCACATTTTAAGTTTTTGTGCCGTTGACCCGTGCAGAATGGTGTCCATCCTCCAGAGGATGCTGTCCCTGGCTCTTGAGGTGGACCGGTCTCCAGCTCTAAACTCCGTCAAGCTGTCCCAGGAGCTCTTCCATATGCTCATCAGCAATATACCTCTGCGAGTACACAGGTGAGGAGGAGGACAGAGGAGTCGAGTGAGGGAGGCAAGATGAGCCGGTTTTGCTTCATCATGAATGGAAAGTTGAAGTGAGCGGAAGAAACTATTTTCTTTAATATACAAAGATCACATTTCCCTGTGGTTTTGTGCCACTGGAATATTCATAGACTTTTGAAATTGTCAATTATAATTGGTACGTACAGTAAATTATTAATAAATTAATATAGTTTGCCTTTAAATATTCAATTTGAGACGAGTTGTATAATATCATTAACAAAAAAAATCAAATGCGTGGCAATCAATGTCATTATTTATTTAAAGGATTAATACATTTAAATGGAGTCACAAAATGATCATGGAGGTTTTTAAATTGAACTTTTTGAAATATGTTTTCGGAGCTATCACGGACTAATCTGTTTCTGACACGCAGGATGTTGTTGCTGGAGAGCCTGCAGAGCAAGCTGCTGAGATGTAAGCTGTTGGAACATCTGTTGGACTATGGATGCCCACTGAAAACCCCTCTGCCCATGTCGCTCAGTCTTCTGCTTCACTTTCTAAAGTACTGCACTCTGACACCAGACCCTTCGGTGAATATCACTCTTGCACCTTGCTTTCACCTTTACCGTATCAGTCAGCTGTTGCGCTTCACAAGATGTAGTTGTGTTAACATATGTGATTTACAATCCAACACTTATCCTCCAGGATGGTACTGAACGGTGGCAGAGGTGGGAAGAGTTGGTCCATCTTCTCTGGATGTTGCTGCTCAGCTACAACAAAGCGATGAAAGGTGAAATGTTGGTAAATGCCAGTAAACTGTGCAACAGTATTTGCAGCTAGCTGTAGCCACGATGCACAAACGATTAAATGGGATTACCAACGTTTCTTCACGGTACCCTGAGAAAGACTGTCATGTCAAAACTTTGTTAATATCAATAAATAAATAGTTTGTGCATTGTGGCTACGAGTGTGTAACTGCTCTCCTTTCCATAATTTGATGGGAATTTCTCTCAGAATGATGAAACATGCTTATTATACAAAACATGATCAACTTTCTTCTTCAATAAATTCTAAAGAAATACATAAATACATAAGGTGAGTGAGGTGATCTGGTCAGAATCAAAACCAACGTCCGTACTGACTAGAACAGCTCTCCAGTGTCCTGCTGACTTTAAGCAGACGGTGTTTGGAGCACGTGAGAAACCTCAGATTCCAGTAAATGTGCAATATGTGGTGGGACACCATCTGGGATTGTACTGAGCTGTTTTATTGGAATTGTTTTTTTTGTACAGCAGAGAAAGAAAAGTGCTTACTGTGGTTAAAAGGATTAAACAAGACTTGGAGTTTCCTGGTCACATAGTCAAATGTCTTTCCCTTTCCTTCCTACTTACTATAATTTACCAATTCTCTATTTCTGTATTTGGTTCATCTCTGGTCACTATTGTGCAAATATTCTACTGAATAAATGAATGAATTTATTTTACGCTATATGCCAAATTTAGATATAATTATAATAGGGAACTTTATTCACTTTTTTTTGCCATTCCTGTGCTCTGTCCTTTTGTATGTATGTGTTGATTGTTTTGACTCACAGTCACCTCTATTAAAATGTTTGTATTGTCGTTAAATATTAAGTATATTTGTGATAGTCTTTTAACCACTGATATCCATAGATATTATTTATCCTTGAGAATGCCTTTACGACATGGGTTATATTAACTTTCACTAACGCATACCAGATGTACCATAGCCCTGAATATTAAAACATTTTAACAAGAGCAATAAGCCCATTTTGGTTTAACTTGTTTCATCTGTTATACCCAGGCTATCTGTGCAACTCAGTCTCTGACCAAAGAGGCAGTTTTGCCAACTTGGTTTACAAGCCAGATGATATGATATCCAAGCCCGCCATCCGTGAAGCTGTGGAGGTCTTCCTGTCCAGATCCCAGGCGGACCTCGGCCAAGCCTTACCGCTCCATGTGGAAGAGTCCCTCACTTATCTGCAGGATCACCTGCTAGACGTCTGCCAGTGTTGAAATAAAATACTTGTTCTTTGTTTCTTGAATGAAATGTTAAAGACTGTACTAAATTAATATTTATATTTTTGTATGAATTGTCTTGTTCAATTATTGTATTCTAAATAAAGGCAGTGCCTTGCTGTGTTTTATGAAGTAAAAATATATTGATATCAGGCATCTCTTAATTACCTATTATCAAAGGCATCAGTTTATCAATGAGTGCAATCTTCCTTGGATCGCCATACAAATGCAACCATTACATCATTACATTGACTGCATTACTATAGTCTGCTAACTATGCATCATTTGTAAATAAGCCACAGTAAATTGAACTGTGGCATTCCATCCATCCATAACTTGGTCCATCACTCATCATTTTTAGGATTTTATTTACTCTGGTTCAACAGCTGGTTGGACCGTCTGCACGCTGACCAATAGGATCACGCGCTGTTACCGACAGGGAGAAAAAAAAAAATCCCCTCAGTCGCCATGATACAGCAGCGGAAACGGGTGAGAAGTAGCTAGAAAACAAAAGAGAACACGCAGTCGTCCTCGCGATTTGGTATGCTCTTGCAGGTATGAAAAACAGCAATCATTCCGATTAGACCTGAACAGTTCTCAGACATTTCACCGCAATCGTATTTAGATGTTTAAAGCGCCGTGGTCGTTTTTTTAAAGTAGGACTTATCTGATAGGAAGTCGCTCAGCTTCGAGTAATTGAGATATGTTTGCTTTGAGCTAACAAGCTACCTCGAGCTATACTAAATAGCTCGCAATTTCTTGCAACCCCAGCATTGTGTCGCGTAGTGAGCTCGTTTCGCTCGCAGTTTACAACATAGTAGCCAATTCTTGCTTTTGGAGGCTAGCTAGCGGTAGCTAACTAATGCGCTTTTTTTGTGGCCTTGTGTTAATGCGCAAGTCAGTGCTTTGCTATTATGTAAACAGAAATTGTGCAGTATCCTTTAATATACTTGTGCTTCTTTTTAGCTAACCTACTCGCAAATGACGTTAAAGCCAGTTAACTAATATCACAATATCACTAACGTCGCGTGTTCGTTTACTATCCTGCTAGTTAGCAAACAAGCTAGCTTTAGCTATTTAACGTTTGTTATGTATAGTTTGATAGCTAACGTTACCTATTTTGGTTAAGCTAGGCTAATGAGTTAGCGACAACGAGAGGAAAAATCGTCTAATTTTAGCTAGAGGTAGCTATTTTTACTAGTTTTATTAATGCAGTTTTATATTCAGATATTCGCCAAAGGTTAATTAAAGCTTTACTCTGTTCTAGTTTGCTAAGTTTAGCATGGAATGTGCTACTACGTTAATGTTGCTTTTATGTAACTTAACTCTGAAATCTGTCTCTAAAGAAAGCAGTTTAAAGTAAATTGTATAGTATTATAAACGATTGTAAGTAACGTATCACTTTATATCTGAATTTAAAAACGTGTCAACATGTGTACATATGGTAACATGTGTCCATATGGTAACGTTAGCCTTTTAAAATGTGTCGCATGTGGTTACCCGATGAGCTAATGTGTACACTTCCTCTAACATAAATCAGTATTCCAGCTTTAGCTGAAGGACTAAATTCCTTAAATGTCGTTCAACTGATGGTATATAGGAGATCTTTGACTCTGTCCATGGATGATATTGTAAATCAAAATGATCTCTGCAGTGTTATAGGAATGCCCAAGGAAAAATATGACCCGCCGGATCCCAGGCGGATGTACACAATAATGTCTACCGAGGAGGCAACAAACGGGAAGAAGTCATACTGGGCTGAGCTAGAAATCAGCGGTGAGTATTTTCAGGGAGTTCCTAGTTTAGTAGGTAAAGTAGTGTTTTGTGTATCTACCTTTCAGAACCCAAAGCCTATTGGGCACATGTGACAGGCCTTTTACACAGCAGACATTTTGACATGTCATTTTAGGAATAGCACATGGCTCTGTTCTATTAAAATGCCCACTGTAAGAGCGACCCAGCATGCACTGCACCAGGAATCTTAAGGCAACGCAGCTCAATGGAGTTCAGCCATCATTCATTTGATTATTTAAGTCAAAGACGATCGTCACTGTTCATTGTAGCTACAGTCCCTTGTAAGGCTGGTAGAGATTATTTTTCATTATAAATGAATCTGCCAATTACACGCTTGATTACCTGCTTGGCCCATAAAGATGTCAGAAAATAGTGTTGAATGTTCATCAGTTTCACAGAGCCCAGGTCAACCGATTTCTTGTTTTGCTTGACCAACAGCCCAAAACTCAATGATATTAAATATAGTTTATAGGAAACTCAATTATCATATATCCACATGTTAACCAGAACAGATGCAGGGACCAGTTTATGATAGGCATTATCCCTCACAAATCAATTTAAGGATTTGTCCGTTGTTGAAGTTGTTAGTTTATTTTCTGTTAATAAATTTGATTAATTGACGAGTCATCACAGCTCAAATTCTGAACTGTGTTTTGCTAGGTTTGAAAAAGGTCACTGTAAAATAGTTTTACACTGGAGAGGCAACATGGTGGGTGTAATCAACAGTCTTATCGTGATTCTGTTTGTCCATGTTTTCCGGGAAATTAATGCGGACCTACAGTTATGCACAAGCATCATCTTAACTATTGTGAAATCATTCAACCCAGTGTTGACCCATTCACACCAATGGGAAACAAGTTGTTCCATGTTTTTGCTTTGTTGCGAGGGAAGTAAATAATTGGAGAGTTGAATTTAATTCTCCTGTACGTGTTCCTTTCCCACCGTCACTGCAGGCCGAGTAAGGAGTCTCAGCACAGCCCTCTGGTCTCTCACCCATCTTACTGCCCTCCACATTAGTGACAACTCACTGTCACGCATCCCGCCAGACATTGCCAAACTACACAACCTGGTGTACCTGGATCTCTCATCCAATAAGATCAGGAGCCTGCCGTCAGAGCTCGGCAACATGGTATCTCTCAGGTTAGTAATTTTAGGCTATAATTAACCCATAATTCAGGTACAGCTGTCACAGGGTTGATCTTAAACTCTCACACATGCTACACACCGGTACTACCCATTATGACATGTGTTTTTTCAATCAATCATAGATTCACAAGATACCTGCCAATTTTCTTCCACATTAAGTTCACATTAACACAGTCTGAAGAAGGAAAGCATGGCGTAGGCAAATACTGTTTGTCAACGGCAATAAAGTTGGTTGTTTCTCAGGAGGGCTGGTTTCTAATAATCAAATTCCCCTATGTCCTCCACAGGGAACTGCTTTTAAATAACAACCAGTTGCGAGTTCTGCCATTTGAATTGGGGAAACTGTTTCAGTTACAAACACTGGGGTTGAAAGGTGAGTGGCTTATCAATCATTTTTTTGTAGCCATTCTAGCCTTGAAATCCCATTGTTCTCTTAGCAATGATTCAGCCCACTTTTGCTTTTCCTTCACCAGGAAACCCACTTGCACAAGAAATTATGAGCCTCTACCAGGAACCTGATGGCACGCGGAGACTGCTCAACTACTTGTTAGACAATCTGGCAGGGGCTATCAAGCGCAGTGAGTCTCCCCCCCCCCCCCCTCTCTCTGGCAGTTCTGAGACCGGAACAGGAATTGCATATTGCCAGTTTTTATTTCCCCCAAAAATGTCGTCAATAGATATAGGTGGTGAAATTGTGAACCCAACAGCTTACAGGACCTTGAACTAAATTGTTTGACATCTGTGTTCATGTTGTCCCCCGTATTAAACCATTTTTTTCCCTTCTTCTCAGTACCAACAGAGCAGCCCCCGGCCCGGTCATGGATTTCCCTCCAGGAACCAGACCGAACACGGGCCTCAGGTAAGGACGACATACCCGAGGTTAATGCTCTTTAACAGATGACGCAACCAACCAAACTTTATGTCAAATTGTGCCTCTATACAGAATTTTGGGAGAAATAAATCAATAAATACAACAACAACAAAAACCACTCATTCATACACACACAAAATCTATTTGGATGTGTTGCCAAAATTCTCTTTTTAAGTGGAATAGAATTTACCTTGTTTACCGAATGCTGCGTAAGATGAATGTTTTTCCATGTATAGACAGGAAGAAATAATACAGCACTGAGCTAGGCTTTATTGTGGTCATTTAATTTTAAGACTAGTAATTAAACAACTGTGGAAATGTCCCCTCCTAAAAATATCTGAGGCAATAAATCATCAGCTTCTCCAGCAATTCTAAGTTCCGTCCTGTTTGTCCATTTCTTCCCACAGCACTGTTCTCTGTGATGTGCTACAACGTGCTGTGTGATAAGTATGCCACGCGTCAGCTATACGGCTACTGCCCCTCTTGGGCTCTAAACTGGGAGTACAGGAAGAAATCCATCATGCAGGAGATAATGGGCTGCAATGCGGACGTCATCAGTTTGCAGGTGAGAGATGGACGTCAAAGTGTGTCTTCAGGTTTCCACTGAAGTGAACTAAATGTTGTTATCAATGCAAATCCAACAAGATGTTTTTTGACTACGCTTCAAGTCGACACAATAAAAGCCACAGCTTATGCACGCCAATAAAGGCTCTTTTTGTTCACCAGTCTTGTATACAAATTTCTTTTGTTCTTTTCGGAAGGCGGTGTTTGTTATCCATGAGTGGCTGTCAATCTTTCCTGTTGCCCATCCTGACCAGTTTCTTGTTGATTACAGGAAGTTGAGACGGAGCAGTACTACAATTTCTTCTTGCCCGAGCTGAAGGAGCAGGGGTACGAAGGGTTCTTCAGTGCAAAGTCACGAGCCAGGACTATGTCGGAGTCGGACCGTAAACACGTGGATGGTTGTGCGATTTTCTACAAAACAGAAAAGTATGTACTCACTATTTTTGCAGTTATTGTCCTTTATATCTCGTTGAATAGAATTAGGACATACAATTATTTGATTAATCTTCTTAACGTTAAATATCATTTTTTGATTTTATTTATCCAAGTCCGAATCCAGTTAATAACTTCATATCTGATATTGCATGAGGATAGTTAGGATAGCTCCTAATATTGCTGCTTCAGTGACTTACAGTGTTTTTGTTGTGTATTTATAGTTGTAATTTTTCCTCCATTTAGCAATAATTCGAACAAAGAAATTAGGTATGACCGTATAAGCATTTCACTCAAATCTGTAATGCTGGGAAACTGAAACCTGTGCTTTCTTTGTTTTTAATTGCGGTTGACGGTGTCTTGATTTTGTTGAGCGGTGTGGAACCACCACTGCTGACCCTACCTAACCAGTTGACTATTCTGCAAACTAGCAGGTCTCTTTGTTGTAGCCATCAGACGTCACTGTCACAGCTGTGAAACCACAAGCCGTCTGCATCCATAGGCTACAAAAGCTAGATGTTTTGAGACAGAATATTGGGGGTTGACATTGACGGCAATCTTCAAAACCGGCTCTTTTTATACCGTAGCACATCGATATGAGTACTGAATTTTGTATCCTTATTTTGAGAAACTTGCACGTGTTTGTAGAATATGAAAGTGGTGCTTTTCTGAGTCAGCCATAGCTACTTACAATATCCAGCACACTTCTGACCCTCGACATTGGTGGGCCGTTATGTGAGAAAGCACTTTTAAAGATTGTTGTTGTGGTCAGTGAACCTGAGCTGTTAATGTTGATTTGCATTAAAGGGGCACAACATGGGTTTCGCACATTAAAGTCTGTTTCCAGGTTTTCTCAAGTACTATTGCATATGCAGGAGAAAAAGTTGTATAAAGCATTTTGTGGCTCCACAGAGAGCCGAGTTAAGGCTAATGCATTTCATTAAGTGATTCCTCAAGTTGGAAATCGGCTGATGTGGAGCAACAAAGACATCAGACCTCTGTAGCTGCTACTCGTGTCTGCTTGCATCCTGAGGCTTTGTTAGCAGCTGCACGCATAACCGCAGAATCTCTAAACTGGTGATGGACATGTTGTAGGTAATAAAGGTGCAAGAAAGAGACATTATGGAATAAAACAGATAATATCTCTGCTTTTGCTGCATTGATTTTGATGCTTTCAGCTGTCCTGACTACGAGAATACGATGCTAAATTGTTTGGGTACTCTGCCAAGACGACATGAAATAAACATCAGTCCAGTTTTTAATAAGTGATCTCATTAAATAATGACAAATCGTTTTTCTTTTTATATTTAAATCATAACATAAACTTAATTATCTGAGATTAAACAGAATGAATTGTTGTAGAGTTTTGATATTGGATAACAGCTTCTAGTGTTGTTGAGGTAAAAACAATGCAACCTGATGGCATTCATGCGACTGTTATTAGCCTGCAATAAAAACAAATCATGTATTTGACATTAATTTAAACGCATAGAAGGCTAAGGTTTAGTCCATACAGCAGCTGGCAGTGCTGATCTCTGCGTTCTATTGAACCGATAAGTCACCATAAGTTGAATGGTTTTAGTTTCCACTCTTATAAAAATGTATTGTACTGCATGTCATCAATCTTATAGCTTTACCTAAATCATGCTGCACTGTGTCAGACTTCTGCTTGCTTTCTTGCTCCGATATTGAGCGGCATCAAGTTTTACCAATTAACTAAATGTGAGTCTGAGGAGCTTCTCAGAGCTTTGGGAGAACAATGTTAGTCTCTGTTAAAGTCGGTTAGCTGGAAAAAAGACCTAATTGAATACATAATACAATAGCCTACATGATTAAAAGTGTTGTCATGCATGAGCAATTGAACAGCTGCAGTACCTTTTGAGCCTGAAGATTGCTCTGCTTAGTTTAGATATTTCGATAACTGCTTCTCTTAAGTTCCGAAGATAAGAAAAGTCCAGTCTTCCTGTCATTGAAGCAATTCATTGCTGTCCTAATCTGTATCTTAATAAATTCTAACTATCATTACATTTTATTCTTCATGCCTATATCTGTGTTTACAATGTACTGGTGGGCTATTGAACATGGACAAGACATAATAACAGCTCTCACTTGTCACTGGCTAGCTAGCTTTTAGTTATGGACAAAAAGCTGAGCTCTCGTGCTGTGGAACCCACATGTACAAGGATGCGTTGCACGAGCAGCGATTTCACTTTGGCTGATAAATATAGAGAATAAACTCGTATCACATCATTGAAGAAAATATTCTTCCACCTAAACGTTCAACAGTACACCTTCTGAATTTACATTTCTCTTTGACACCGAACTAAGAGGCTTAATTGTCTTAATAACTCGTCGTAAAACATGCCGCATGCTAGCAGCCTTGAGTGGCATCTCTCCGGCTAAATATCACGGTCAGCTGGTAAACTGCAATGTAGCGGTCACACTAACACAAAAATAAAACTTATAACTGCAGGTGTTTTTCACACTATATACATAAATTGGAAAGAAGAGATAAAGTTGAAAATAAGCGAATTTCATTTTTTCAAATAGGATTATTTTTTTCATAAATTTCTGTAATACCAAGAAAGTCCAGATGTCGTCCTAAACTGAGACAACGTGTGATTTCAGACTTGATCCAGGATCTGTTTGCAGCGCATCATAAAGGAAGCTTGTTTTCATGAACTTATCTCCGACACTGCTTACAAACCTTAAGCCTTCTCTTCCCTCCTCCTGTTGACCTCCAGGTTCAGCGCAGTGCAGAAGCACACAGTGGAGTTCAACCAGCTGGCCATGGCTAACTCCGAGGGCTCAGAGGCGATGCTGAACAGGGTGATGACCAAGGACAACATCGGGGTAGCGACGCTGCTCGAGGTCCGCAAAGAGATGATGGAGGCCTCCTGTGAGTAGACACTCTGTGCTCATCTTTGGGACTTCTTATTTGGCCAAATACGATTGGTTAGTCCTGCTAATTCTGAATCGACTGTGGTCGGAAACTCGCTTACCTAAGGATTGTAGGTGCTCCATGAATGAATTCTTGGGGCTGTGTATTTCATTAGCTGTAATTCCTGCCCGCGTCACATCTCCCTGCTTACTTTTCTCCCTCCTCTCAGCTGGAAAGTCCCTCCACGGCATGGAGAAGCAGCTGCTCCTGGTGGCCAACGCCCACATGCACTGGGACCCGGAGTACTCCGACGTCAAGCTGGTCCAGACCATGATGTTCCTGTCGGAGGTGAAGAACATAGTGGACAAGGCCACACGCAGCCTCAAGTTGTCCTCTGTCTCTGGGGAGATCAATGCCATTCCACTGGTGCTGTGCGCTGACCTCAACTCCTTGCCCGACTCTGGTAAGTACGCGAGGTTAATAGAGCGGCGCGTTATCTGACCGCAGGGGTTCGTTTGATTGTACATTGAAGATTCTAAAACGGTGACGGGTAATCCTTTAGGTTGTTTCCCTAACAATGTGTTCAAAAACTTCTCTGGATAAGCAGGTCTGTCTTTCATGGCTGCTTTGTCAGTTTAACAAGAAAAAAGGAATGAGCACCCAAACTACCCCCAAAAATAACCCAAATGACTCTATATTTTTAAAGATTGTATTGTATGTATGGTAGTGGTGTAACGGATCGATCCGTGATCGGTTCGGATCACCCCTCACGGTTCGGATCACCGCTCACGGTTCGCATCACTCGTGAACCGCGGATCAATTGAGTATTTATTTTCTTTTCTTTTTTACAGTGTAATCATCATAGTGTGTAATAAAGTTTCACTGCTGCTGTTCCTTTTCAAGTAACAAGTCCCCGAATATCAATGCAGAGTGTCAGTGAACAGGTATAAAGCGGTAGTGTGTTCACGTGAACGGCGCAGGTTAGAAGCATTCAACGGCGAAAGTCATGGCGAGCGGAGGAACTTGAGAAGCCCCCGGCGTCATTTAAATCGCAAGTTTGGGAGCATTTTGTCTTCCCTGTAACTTATGACAGATAAGGGTGGTGGCCGAAACCTTTACGGTATATAGGCGTTATTTAAAGAGAGACACACGATAACGGCAATACATCGGCATGTCCACACATATGAAGAGACACCATCCCGTCTGTCAGCGACGGGGGACACTCCGTTGTAGAAAACAAAGGATTTCAAAATCTGGTTAAAAAGCTTGAGCCACACTACGAAGTCCACTCACGCACCCACTTCAGTGTGAAGCTGTTTCAGGCCTCTATGAAAAGGAAAAGACTGACTGCTTTCACCACGGCGGAGTGGAGATTCATAGTCCGGTGCTGCAGACATGCCCCCTCTCTGTGACAGTCACACAGACCCACACCTGGGGCAGGTGCTGACAGAAGCAGCAGAGTGGAAGCTAGACAGGCCCAATAGTAATATTACAGTCACCACAGAAAGGTCTACCCTCTCCCCAGGCAATGTAGATATTCTCATCTTTTTGAAAATAATGGTAATGGTAAACATTATTGTGTATTTGAATGACACCTGACAGGAAGTAAACATAGACACAAGTTGTTGCCGAGCAGTTCAGTTCAGTCTAACAGTGAAAGCTAGCTCACTGGCTGTTTCTTTCTTTCAGTATTGATCAAAGGACGAGGGTATCAACATACCTCATGTTGCACTTAAACTTAACAGAGTTGAGGATTCTTGAATGTTTTATTTTTATTTATTTATTTATTTCATTTGTTTCAAATTGGACATCTTCAATAATTTTAGTTTTCATGTTAGACTATAGCCCAAAGTTCTTTAATTGATAAATGGAAAGCAAAGTTATATTTGTCTCCTCCCCTTTTCTTTGTTGATCTGAAAAATGATCCGAACCGTGATCCGAACCGTGAGGTTTGTGATCCGTTGCACCCCTAATATATAGCCTTATTGCACCCCTAATATTTAGCCTTATTGCACCGGCAAACTGACAAGTGGTATGTGTGTCATATCTTCAGTTCATTATTCCCCACAGAAGTCATCTTAAACTTACTTGACAATTTGGCGTTCTCCCGTCCAGATAATCCAGCCATGTAACTGTCCATTCACAAGATGAAATCGCACACTTTAGGATCTCCCCATGAATGGTTCCTAAGAGAGGCATCTACCAATCTTTGCCAGTCGTAACTCACACAACAACGCATTGCTCGTTGTAAATAAATCGAACATATTTCAGCAATGTAATCCATCAAATCACACTCCAGGAAATTCTCTTACTAATGATTCCATTTGACAGAAGACTGATTCAATAAGAACGGCGATCGGAGTGAAGCGCAACCAAAAGACAGACTGCTGATAAACCTTTCACTCTCTCTTCTTTTTCTAAAAATAAATTGTAGTTATTTGATGTTTAGCTACAGATTTATACATCTATTTAGGTATTTATTACTTTGACTTGGATGTCACTTAGTAATATAGTTTATGATTGTTAATTTCTGGGGATGGTGGATATCGGCCGATTAATCGTCTACTCCAAACTATGGTTTTTATATTTTTATAAAACAGTCAATGCAGAAAATAATCTGCAGATTAATAAATAGTGAAATGAATCATTATATGCGGTGGTAATGTTTTAGCAGTTTCTTGGCATGAAGTAAAAGCACTACACTAAGACCTTCCACACAATGTTTGATTTCAAAATCTTGGAAATATCTACCGACCATATCTGCGTGCGTCTAGTTTATCAATCCGTTATTTTGACAAATTAGTTGAAGCTAAAGTTGTCCTGAAAAGGTATTCAGCCTCTCCTGCTTCATGTGTACTGCAGCGATCATTGTAGCCCTCACAATAACTAAAGACAGGACAATCACACAGATTGATATTTTGCCTTGTTTCTATGCACAAACCGCGGCATGGCTTGCCATGAAGGGCGGATCGAATAACTACGTTCATGTTACAGCTCGTACTGCTAGACAGGCCGTCGCGCGGGATCACGGTGATAGTAGGAACTGATTTGTCTCGGTCTGTTGCGACCTTGAAGTGCCGCTTGACTTTTCCTTCATTCTGATGGAGACCATCACGGTCATCTCTTCCCTCTCTTCAGGCGTGGTGGAGTACCTAAGTACTGGTGGGGTGGACTGCACCCACAAGGACTTCAAGGAGCTTCGTTACAGCGACAGCCTCACCAAATTCAACTGCAACGGCAAGAGCAGCTCGTCCAACGGCAGGATCACCCACGGCTTCAAGCTGAAGACCGCTTACGAGGACGGCCTGATGCCTTACACCAACTACACCTTTGACTTCAAGGTGAGTGCACTGGCGGCACAGATCTGCGTGTGGTCGTGGTTAATACGGCTGCTTCTTTATAAGCGTAATATCAAGGATGTGTTGCTTTGAGGTGACTCCCCTCGTCTTCTCTCCTCAGGGTGTCATCGACTATATTTTCTACTCAAAGCCTCACCTGAACGTGCTGGGTATCTTGGGCCCCCTGGACCCCCACTGGCTGTTAGAGAACAATGTCAGCGGCTGCCCACACCCCCACATCCCCTCCGACCACTTCTCCCTCTTCAGCCAGCTGGAGCTCCTCCTGCCCAATCTGCCCCCCCAGGTCAATGGGCTCCACCTGCCTGCACGCAGGTAGTGAGTCCCCCGCCACGTCACCGGGGGAAGCTGCTTCTCCCGTTCAGACCCTCCTCCCTCCCTCCCACTACCAGCTCTTCCCTCCACCACACCGGAGGAGGAAGACAAATACACAACCTGTAAAATATTCGTACAGTGAGGTCTGGCCGACAGGGATTTCGTATAATGTTATAGATAATCTATATTTTTCTTTCTCCGTTTTTTTCTTTTTTGTTTTTTTAACTGCTTGATTCAGTCCTGTTCGTGTATCATATTTTGTGTTTTGGACTCCCTCTCCTCCTCAAAATCCACCCATCTACCCACCCACCCACTTTGCTTCGGTCTTTCCTACTACAGGGGATGGTAGCTCATTCAGATTGGTCGCATGGGCCACAGTTTGGTTTTAGAGTGCGGGGAAGTGGCTGAGGGGACGACGATCCCTAGCTGGTGGTCTGCCCGTCTGTCTGTCCGTCTGTCTGTCCTGTATAAATCTGAAACCAGCATCGACAGCAGACTCGTCAGTCTCGGACCTCCATCGTTGGCTCGGGCTTGTTTCCCCCGGGCAGCCGGCGTACTTTCTCAGTCTCTTTTTAGGATTCACTTATCAGTTGAGTCGGATGTTGCTGGGTCGGATCAGCCTTTAGCTGGTAGTTAAGCGGCCCCGGAGATGGATGTAGCGCAGCTTGCATGAGGTGAGATTTCCCGCTGTCATTCTGAGGTGCTGAGGCCTTTTCGTGTGGTCACGGCCTCCCGCGGTGCTACAAGATAGTCTCCACCTCTGACCCCGGCCCTGGTGCGTTAGCCACCAATCCCACAGATGTCCCGAGAACTGCAATCGCACGGTTTCCCTCGGGCTGTATGTAGTGTTAATTTGTGAAGGAAGGATATAGCGAGAAACTGAGGGCAGCTACCATCTTGTTTGCAGACTGTTTTTAACCCCAGCTTGTATAGTTGTGAGGCGAGGCCTGTGCTAAGGGGCTCATGTGACCCACGTACCCCCATTTCTGGTCACGGGATTTAGGCTGATGGGCAAAGCGATACGGGGCTTTCACAAATATTTTTCTTTGTCTCGATTTGCTTTTAGGCAGAGAGCGAGTGATGGCTAATACACAGGAGTAACAACCAGCATTCCTCTCACTGTCTGGAGTTGCCATCCAACTCCACACATGCAAGCTTACACACACAGACACACACACACACACACACACACAACTCAACACACAACTCAACACACAACACAGGTAATTTGCAGGCAGATCTGTAGCACTGTCTCTGAGGCCAGTAGTGACTTTCCCCAGCCATGAATTCATACACAAAGCCGTGGTTTTTCCCACAAGTGTTTGTACAGAATAGAAATCTAGACTCAGTCTTTACATGATTGTATATGAACCACAAAAGACCTGTTTTCTGGCGTTTTTTTGTACTAAGAGTAAATTATGATCAGATTTGAAGAAAAAAAAAAAGAAAAAAGATTGTATTGTAAACTATGGCTAAATTTTTATCCAGTTAATGTTGAGATGAATTGATATTACCAGCTTGTACAAAAGACGTAAGAAGAGGTTGTTCAAGGCGTTCACTGTCACAACTTTGCACTCCCTAGATATTGGCTGTAATTGATGTATCGGTATTTTTATTATTTTCCTCTCCCCCTGCTGTTGATTTGATATGCCGGCCTATTGCTGCAATTGTAAATAGACCACAGAGTAGTCTGCCTGTTGCTTCTCACCCATTAACGAAGCCATTGATCCACACTGCTGCCATCAGTTCAGATTAAAGGACACGCAAGGATGAGTCGCAGCCCACCAGTGACTCCACATCTGTTCATCGATACATCTCACACACACTCCCACTAGTGACGTGTGACCCATACTTCTATTAATCCCACATGTACAAGAAAACATCGTGCCTCACTGTAGCAGTTGTCGTTGTCTTGCACTATTTACATTTGACGAACGCCTGAACAACCTTTTCTCCTTTTATTTTTAAATACTGTTGAGACATTTGTGAAGATTTTATGTCCTTTTATTGGTTTTTGCTGATGTTGATTTCCTTTTTTATGAGCTGTGACAATGTTATGATGATGTGTATATTCTTCCTATTCATTGAGCTCTCTAGTAATCAGGTATGCTTTCTCCCCTCCTTACGGAACACCAGTAGGATGTGTAATCTTTGTTGAATCCACTCGCTCTGATTGTTTGCTCCCTATTTGTACCTTAGCACAGCTCCACGGCCAGAACCCCCGAAATATCTCTCCCGTTGCTTCTTTCCAAGGCCATGAAATCTAAATCTCCTATGCCTGTCCATCACCCTATACCCCTCAACTGCCCAACCTCAGCCCTCCCCTACCCCACTATATTACTCAAGCCGTGTCTTTTTAACACCCCTTTGCTCAACCACTCTGTATAGTTCGCTTCCCCTCGTCACTAGTGCCATCTGTGGACCCCTTACCTCTGCGTTGGAGAAGGTGGAAGGCCCACTTTATTCTGCTTATTGGACGAGCGAGGGATGAAGGACAGTGAGCTCAGCTATTTCTCTCTGAAAGCCAGACAGGAATGTTGCGATGAATGAAATTTGTAGATGTCGCAACAAAAAAGAAAAATAATTAATTCGACAGACATGCTTTTATGAAAATCCACCGGGTAATGAGCGCTTGATTGATTGAGATGTAGCTCCCCTCACTCTCCGGTCCGTCATCTTAGCGAATAAAGATCGAATTTACTTTAATGTATATGTTGAAATGACATTTTTTAAAGCAAGAGGGAAGCGAGTAAATGGGAAGTGTACGTTTAGTCCTCGGATCAAGGTTTCTCGTCCCTTTGTTTCCCCCTACATGTTTGTCTTTTAACTTTTATTTTGTTCTCTAATGGAAACCAATGTGTCCAGTTTGATTCTTACTTTTCCTGAATGGCATTAGTATTGTAGTAGATTTAAAGGCTAGCTTTTTTGTAAAGTGTGAATAAAAGATGTATCTCATGTTTCCTTTCTAAAAAGATAATGAATTGTGTTTTGATGTGTAAATCATGAATTCTAAGACAGTGTTATGTTTGCTACATTGTTTTTTTACTTGTACTCAATATATATATTTTTTTTTTGCCCCCAAATAATATTTCCATCACAAACTAAATCCTCTGTTGAAATCATGATGGTGAGACGTTGTCTTGACGGGTTGATTGGAGGAGATGAATGTTGCTGATGATAATGCCTAGAATGAAGGATTGAGAGCTCATCAGAGGGAAAGTTCCTGCATCATTGCTATCACTAAACACATTCGGCACAGGGATATTCAACTTGATTTCTTTATTTGCTTTTCAGCTTTATTTTGGATGTTGCATGGCACTAGCTGGAGAGTGCTAGCGCCTTTAGGTTAGGACAGCAGAGCTGTCTCACTAGTGGCTGCAGTTCAGTACTAGAACCACTGTTCTGGTGTAAGATGTGTTTTTAAGCTAACGGCGCGCCGCTGGTCGCTTAACTGGTCCTGTGATGATTTTGAGTACTACTAGTCCATTTCACTCTGTTCTTGTGCATCACAGTGGTTAAATCTGTTACACTAGCTCGTTACTGTTGATGGTCACTGATGTGACTCTTAAGTCTTTTTGGTTGTTGACTGCCCCCCCCCCCCCTTTCTCCTCACCACCTTTGTTAAACCAGACTTTGACTTCTGACGGAACATCTGGCGAATCACACAGCCGAGTTATGTCACCCTGTAAGCTCCCGTTGAGCGCTCACATCGTTAGCTTTGTAGTTTCCACTGTTGCATTGTGTTTAGCAGTTGGCTTGTTTAGGTGTAGAGTAATTTCCCAGGCTGCATCTCTTTGTAATGGTGCACACCAAAGCTGCTTATAGTCCAGTTCTCTGTCGTTGAGCGAGTTCTTTCTCCAACCACTCACATTTATTTAGTTTTTATCCGCATCATAGTCTTCATGAAATGTAGGGCTGTAAGGAAATTGAGGTACTTTTGTCCTTTTTTTTCCCTTGAATCACATGAACAAGTTGCGTTCATAGTCATACTCTATGGTTTGGTTTCTCAAAACACACGCACTCGTTCTAAAGGCATCCTTTTCAAAACTACTTGGCAATAATACCCAGAAACATTCAGACCCGCACAGAATGGGTTTTTAAATATTTCATCTGGAAAATGTAGCTGTTTCCTCTTTCAAACTGTGGTTGTTGTGGTTTCTTTTGCTTCTGATATCTCTCTCTCATCTTCGACCTGCTCGACCGTTTTGTTCCCTGAACACCTTTCTTTGACCCATGTATCATCCATCTTGTATATTTGCTCATCCTCCTCCCTGCCGATCTAGTAGTAGTTGTTCAATGATCAGGATTGTCTATCTGTAGTCAGCTGAGTACATATATTGATCTGTGTCACCGTGTTTATGCACTGGACCAACTATTGTTTACCATTCATGAAATACCAGCAAAAAAAAAAAAGAAAATAGAATAATGAAACACTTGCACAATGTTGTAGAATGTCCATTAATCCAGATGAGAAATCAAAGGCAGCTGTTTTCAAATCAACGCATACTGTTTTAAAAAGAAACTGAATGGTAAACAATGCTTTCTGTTGTACCCCTTAGCCGTCCTCTTGATTCTCTTCGGACTAGTTTTCTTTCTTTTTTCCGTTTGACTACAGGTTCTGCTTGTTTCCTTTACACCTACCTATGTATTTTCCTACTTCTGGTTGAAAATAAATTCTATATTATCTGTTTCAGGCTGTGTCACCTCTTATTCTTTGCAATGGATATTGAAAATAAAATATATCTGTTTCTCCTTGTGCGGCCTCCTTTTTCTTATTCTTTCCAGTCTTTTTCAGACTTAATTAACACTAGACACCGCACAAATTGGACGGCAGCTAGTATATTTAGTGGTAATCTTCTCCTATTCCTCAGTCCAGTGACCTTATCAGAAATGTGGAAAACATGCAGTGACAGCAAGCAGACTGCTAGCTCACAGCCTGCTCCCCCTCTCCTCACATGTTGCACAATCTAAACCATCATTTGTGTGGTGGTTGATGTTGAAGATGCAAACGTGCCAAAGGTCTGGTGCCAGAACTTGCAGGTTTTCATTCCGACTACATTCTGAAGCAACTGAATTAAACGTGAGTATCGGTCAGTGTTTGGTTGCAATTAAAACCTGCACACTCACAACCCACAGTGACACGTTTGTCCAGACGAGTGTGTTAGAGAGACCGTCATGGTTGAAGCCTCCGTGTCAGCTAGTACACGCACCCCCTGAAGTGTCCTTCGGTAAGACACTGAACATTTATTGGGACCACGGGGGCTGTTTTTGTAGCTGAGACAGACCTTTTGTTTTTCCTCCAGGACAGCAAATGAAAAGAGAATTTCCCATTGGGGATCAATAAAGTTTAACATGAACATTTAATACCTAAAATGGCCCGGGGATGACATGTGTTTTATCGTTTGTAGACACACGGTGGAGCCAAAGGATCAGGTTACGAAACGGAACCGAGAACGGAACCATCTGTGTCGTCTACTGAAGGAGTTAGGATGCCAGGTCTGCAGGAGTTAGGATGCCAGGTCTG